TGCTGAAATGTGTGTGACTTTCCCTTAACCTCTCTTTTTTTTTTTTTTTTTTTTTTTTTTTGTCCCTACCTTGCTCCTCCTCCTTTCTTTCTGTTTGTCTTTTTCTTTCTTTTCAGGGACAGGGTCTCACTATGCAGTTGTGGCTAGCCTGGAACTAGCCTGCTGCTTCTGCCTCTGCCTCTAGACTTCTGGAATTAAAGGTGTGTGCTACCATATCTGGCACAACATTTCAAGATTGTAATAATCGTAAGCTCTGTTTCTGCACATGTAAGAGGGACACGGGGCCCTTACTAAAAAGTACAAATTAAAATCTCCTCACATGGCTTGACAATTGTTTGAGGTCTCTACAAGTGTGAAGGGGTATTACTTGATTACTTAAGGGTTGCCAGAACCAGTGGCCTCCTCTGAGAACTATTGGGCATGTAAATAATGGGACTTCATCCCTGATGTCAAGAATCTGAAAAGCTGGGAGTGGGAATGTTTGTATTTTAACTGCTTCCCCAAGGCGATTCTGTGCCTCCTAAAGGATAAGGATACTTCTTGGCCAGTGTATCTACCCTAGTAGAGTTTTAAAACTAGGTGTGTTTTGAATCTTTGAAAGTGATAATACTAACTGAAAATCTGTGTGGAGTTTGAGGTACATGTGACTCCAGGATCCCCAAGAGGTAAGAAGGAAAGTTGAGACCCTGTTACTACCCTTTCGGCTCTGCTGTAGAGCGTTCAACCAAGAATTCTTGAGGCCCTATTTGATTTCCAGGCCTGCTCAAGCCTGTAATCCTAACACACACAAAGTTGTGTTGAATGAAAGGCCAAAAAGGATGCTTTGACATTTCAAAAAGAAAAGGACTGTCGCCCTAGAGTGAGAGACACTTAAAGTCAGAGCCTGTCCCAGACTTTGTAGAGTGCTATCTGGAGTAACAGTCATTAGGATTTAGTAAGAATGCCATAAGGGCTGGACTTGCAACCTGCCGGTGTGCACAGGGGAGGTTTCCTGTTTGACACTGCTCTCATCAAGGAGATGTCCCTTTGATAGTGATAATAGGGAACATAATTTTGATGCCATGTTATACTTTCTGCCTGTAGCCTAACCTTGCTTTCTTCTGATTTGTCAGCACATAATTGCAGTTTATATTTGGAAGCAGAAAAGGCTTGAAGCCTGCAGAACCGGGAGAGGTTCAATCCCATGCTCTCTTCATAGTATTTTAATCCAAGTTCTGTCTTTACTCTTCCCTGCTTGCTATCTTTTCATCTCACCAGAGACCGTTTTCTTTGTTACTTATGTTTTAAAGTGTGAGGCCCTAGGCTCATTCCTAGTACCACAAAAATCAAACCAAAACAACAAGGTAATATTGCTGTGTCATTCATTTAGTGTGTATATCTTGTACAATGTTTTGGATTGTAATATGCTTTCAGTAAGTTTTTGTACTTGAAGTAGAAAACTAGATATGATGTTTTTATTATCAGTAAGATGTGATTTTGGTATTGGGTTTTGCATGCTCATCCCTTAGCACCCCTATGTCGTCCTGTCTTGTTGCATGAATGAATAAGTATCTACTGTCAGGGATTAGAGCTTAGCTCCTTTATATTTTGCCCCCAGAGGGGTCTCATGTAGCCCAGGCTGTCTCCTCTTTACTGTGTAGCTGAGAATGTTCTTGTACTTCTGATCCTTCCGTCTCCATCTCTTGAATGCTGCACCACTGTGTGTGATTCGTGTGGTGCTGATTATGGAGCTTGGGGCTTTGGGCATGCTAGGCAAGCACTCTGCTAACTGAGCAACATCTCTCCCCATCTTTTTTTTTCCTTGCACATTTATCCCACTTATTGCACAAGATAGTGTCTTGCCATGTAGCCTAGTCCTCCTACCTCAGCCTCCTGTGTGCTGGGATTATAAGTGTGTACTGTCATGCCCAGCTTTTTATTTCTTTTGGTAGTACAGAGGATTGAACAGGGTTTTGCTCATGCTAGGTCAATCCTTGAACTCTTATTTTCAGTTCTTATTCCCTTAAGACATTTATTTTCATTACCAAGTTCTGGAATCCCTACTTTATGTATAGATGTGTGTATATATTTTTTATCTTTTTGTGGTGGTGCTTGTTGGACCCAAGATTACACATGTGAGGCATGCACCCAGCTGTATCCTTAGCCATCCATCATTTTCTTTGCCCTGTAAGAGAGTCTGCTTTTAGGAATGAGGAGTTATTTGCTGAGTTGTGTTCTAGGTATTGGTGTGAGACTCTGCTCATGGAGCTCACAAGCTAATTGAGGGAGACAGGTTATGAGTTCTGTAGAGAGTAGCTCACAAGTGTGTTGGAATAAATAGATGGGATGGTCATTTTCTAACAGTGACATTACTGGAGACCTGGATGTGGAAATGAGAGGCAGGCCAAGCACAGGGCAGGAGCAGAGAGGAGCAAGTTGAGAAAAGCTTCATCCAGCCCACCAGCTGGGGACTAGAGGGATTAGCTTGTCAGAGACCAGGAGTCTCAAGTCTTGGCATTGTATGAGTTTTCATAAAACATAGAATTTAAGTATGAAACACAACAGTTTATTTTCAGAAAGCTTCACAGATACAAAGCAAATATACCCACGAAGTCATTGAGAAATGAATCATCTTATTTGTTAGAAACATGAAGCCCAAAGAGGAACAATGATGGGGGATTATTAGTGAGGGAAGTCTCAGGGAGTATATCTGCTTTTACCCTGAAGTTTTAGCTTGCCAAATTAACATAGGCCAAATCAGCAAAGAAGTCAAAGTTTCAGAAGTTCCCTAAAATGGCCAACAGTTGCAAAACAGGAGTTCCAAAATGTGTACAATGGCAACAGTTTAATAAGTAGCATTAGTTTAAGTGTGCAGGTTATTTTGTGTCTATATAAGAATTTTAAAGAACTGAAGTCAATTTTTATGATTATAATAAACTATATGTTTATTTTTGATTTACAAGATCTTTCACTATTTAAAAAGCTATAAATCTAAATTATTTTTATAATATATATGTTGTAGAAGACTGAGTTAAATCCATATTAAAATTTTCCCCATAAAAACCACTGTTAAGCTGGGTGTGGTGGCACATGCCTTTAATCTCAGCATCCAGGGGGCAGAGGCCTGGATCTCTATGAGTTTGAAATCAGCCTGGTTTATAGAGAGAGTTCCAGGACAGCCAGGGCTACACAGTGAAACCCTGTCTCGAAAAAACAAAAAACAAAACAAAACAAAAACCCCCCAAAAAAACCAAACAAAAAAAATGCTGTTAAAAACATTTTTTTTTTTGAGACAAGGTCTCACTGTGTAGCTCTGGCTGGTCTGAAACTTGCTATATAGATCAGGTTGGCCTTAAACTCAAAGAGATCCACCTGCCTCTGTCTCCAAGTTCTGGGATTAAAGGCATGTGCTGCCATACCCAGCAAAAGGATTTATTCATATATATAAAACTAAGAATACATATACATAAGTAATGTGTGTGGGTATGTACACACGAATGCGGGCTGTGGAGGCCAGAGTCACCAGACCTCCTGGAGCTTGAGTTACAGGCATTTATGAGCCACCTAGTGTGGGTTCTGGGAACTGAACTCAGGTGCTCTTCAAGGGCAGCTAGCACTCTCAATGGCTGAACCATTCCTCCAGTTATCACATCTGTTTATTTTAGACAGGATCTCATGTAGCCCAGGCTAGCAAATCTGCTTTTATTTAATTTTAATATGTTTAATTTTTAAAAAATTCTGCGTATGTATATGGGTATACGCAGGAGCCTGTGGAGGTCAGAGTCACCAGAACCCAAGAAGTTGGAGTTACAGCCACCCGTGAATGGCTTGACAGACATGCTGGGAACTGAACTGAGATCCTCTGAAAGAGGGGTAGATGCTTAACTTCTGAGTGCTCTCCAAAGCCCCTGGTTTTTAAACATTTATTTTTATTTATGTGTATGCCGTGTGTGTGTGTGTGTGTGTGTGTGTGTGTGTGTGTGTGTGTGTCTGTCTGTCTGTCTGTCTGTCTGTCTGTGTGTCACGCACGTACCTGAGGAGGCCAGAAGAGAGTTGGATACCCTGGATATCCACTTGATGTGGCTATTGGTGACTGAGCTTGTGTCCTCTAGAAGAGCAGCAAGTGCTCTTCACTACTGTACCACCCTCCAGTTTCCCACACCTGCTTTAAAAAAAAACTACTTTAACATTTTTGTGGTTTCAATTATGGATAAAAAGGAATTTACCGTTTTTATTTTATTTTATTTTTTTAATTAGAGGAGCCCTCCCTGGCCTGGAACTCTGTTTCTAGACCAGGCTGGCCTAGAACTCACAGAGATACCACCATGTGAACCCTGAGATTGCGTTATTTACTGGAAAAACCTGTTTCTAGTTGTGGTGTGGCTCAGCCCTAGCACACACCTTTAATCCAGGAAGCTTTCTGCTTGAATATTGTAAACAGGATTAAATAAAATCAACCAAAAGTCAGAGACAGAACAAGCAACCAGTTGACAGGAAGTAAACAGGATTATTAAGAAAAAAACATGGAGAGTAGGAGGGAGTCGGGAGGACAGGTAGAGAGGGGCACAGGAAGTAGAAGGGAGGGACATTCAGTTTAAAGAGTCGTTTTGAGAGAGGTTTCTGGGACTTTGGCTGAGGAGAAAGGTCAGCTGGATGCTTTCTCTGAGCTAGCAGGCTTTCACCCCAGCATCTGGCTAGGGTCTTTATTGGTAAAATTGAACGATTGATAGTTTGTTAAAAACAATAAGGAGCATTGGCTGCTCTTCCAGAGGACCTGATTTCAATTCCCAGCACCCACATGGTGGCCCACAATCTCCTGTAACTCCAGTTCCTGACTCCCTCTTCTGACTTCTGTGGAGACCAGATGTGGTGCACAGACATCCATGCAAGCAAAGCACTCATACACATGAAAATAGATTTAAAAAAAGTGAGTGGGCTGGCAAGAGGGTTTAGTAGGTAAAAGTGTTTGCCTCCCAAGTCTGGTGACCAGAGGTTGATCCCTAGAACTTGTGTAAAGATGGAAGGAGAGAATAGACTCCAAGTTTTCTTCTGACCTCCACATGGGTACACACAGACACACACATCGCAGTTAACTCAACTACAGATTCCTTCACATACATGTCCAGAGACTTGCCTCAGAGGTGATTCTAGATCTTGTCAAGGTGACAATATTGACTATCACAGAGGCCAAATAAAAGGTTGAGATTGTAAAATCCATTAGTAGCTCTTAGAATTGATTAGTAAAAAATGAAATATCCCCGTTCAAAGGATAAAGAGTGTAAGAAATTTGTAGAAGAAATGAATGGTCAACAAAAAGGACCTTGAGTAACAGGTATCATTTAAAATAGTAATAAGATTTTAAAGTTTCAAAGGTTCTTGTGTTAGTGAATGAACCCTCATGTGCAGGTGTTAGAGAGCTACCTAGAATACTTTGTGGAGAGCGTTTGGGAATATGTGTCAAACATCATAAAAGTATTCACATTTTTATTTATTAGTAATAAGAATTTCTTCCCCCACTTAAAAGTATTTTCATTTTACCTCAGAATTTCTCTAATTGTTTACAGTTTTTCTTTCATTTGGACAGTAATGTATTCTGTAATGGTGCTAGTAGCTATTCAGAGTGCCCTGTTTTTACAAAGCATTTCTTTGTAATTTCAGTCCTACAAGATTATTAATTTTGCCCCCAGCTTGCTTCGGATCATAGTCTCCGACCATGTGGAGTTCCCAGTGCGTCAGGCAGGTAAGTTGCCTTTTCAAGTTAATGAGAGTTCTAATTTAATTCTTAATAGTTAGAATGTACTTTGCAAGACCTGTACAATGAAAAAAATTAATTAATAATAAAAAAAACCTTAAGGAAAAAAAGACCTGTACAAGTTCCTGACAGTCAAAGTTCCAGGGTAGATGCAGGATGACCCTGGAAAGCCCCACCCCTCTTGGAAAAGCTGCTGGCAATTGATGGCTGCTAAAGGATAGAGTCATTCTCCTTTGGGGATGTGGCTGCTGGTAAGTTGCTCACGCCTCGTGGATGGCCACACACCCATGTTCATAGGGCATCACTAACTAATTCAACTCGGGGCTATTAATAATAACAGCAAAAAATCAAGAGGACATGAAGATGGGAGGGAGATGCCATAGCTGTCACTAGGGGAGTTGAAGGGAGGTAGTGGTGGATGGATATGATCAGTATACATTATCTGTTGTCAAATTTTCTTCGTTGGGGACCATCAGCTCCCCAATTATGACCTGGAGACTTATGATGAATTGTGAAAGCTCGACCCATAGCTTAGGCTTGTTTCTAACTAGCTCTTATAACTTAAACTAACCCGTATCTTTTAATCTATGTTGTTTTATGTGGCTTGGTTACCTTTACTCTGTACTGCCCATGTTGCTTCCTCTTTGTTTTCTGGCATCTCTGCCCTTCTTCTTCTCAGTGTCCTCTGTGCCTGGAAATCCTGCCTAGCCATTGACCATTCAGCTTTTTATTAAACCAATTAAAGTGACACACCTTCACAGTGTACAAAAAGATTATTCCACATTTTCCCCTTTTTGTCTAAATAAAAAGGAAAGGTTTTAACACTAACACAGTAAAACTATATACAATAAGAACAATTATCAGATGAGAATTACATTTGCAATATCTAGTGCATTGCATTTGGCAAATTCAGAGAATGTACTATATTAATTATCTAAATGTGTGGAACATTCAAGCAATGAAAAATATAATTAAAAAATAAATGTCAAAAATCTCTTGAAAAATTAGCAAGAAATGCTTCTAAGGCATAAAAATATTTCCTTTTCTCTTGGAAGGTTAGCAGTAGGTACTGAGTTCTCACATCTACCCTAGTTTTGTTGTTATTTTAATCTCTGCTGTCATCCATCAGTCCTGTGCCTCTCAAACATTGCTGTTTTCCATATTAATTTCCCAATTAAAATAATTTATCTCTGTAATTTCTTATGATCGGTAGTGTTATTACCTTAGGTCACTTATATTAAGACTGCAGATTTATATATCTGAATTCTAGCAGCAGTTATGTCAAGTCACAGATGTAGTGCATTGCATGATGTTTGAAAGGGGAGCAGGACTTTTCTTTGCCTTCCTTCCTTCCTTTCTTTCTTCCTATTTTTTTAAATAGTGCCAGGAATTAGACTTTTTGTTTTAAATATGAAATTTATTTTTTTGTCTGTGGGATCTTATGCAATTCCATGATGTGATATCTTCCCTCCTTATCTCCTACATGTAGTCTAGGTTGCTTTTGAATTTATGGTCATCTGGTCTCAGCCTCCCAAGTTCTGGGATTATAGGCACATACTACTATGTTGAGCTTTTTCTATTATTTCATGATTACTCTTACCCAATCACATTATAGAATATGATAATTGCGCTGGAATAAATGAGATACTTAGTTCATAACCTGGTTTAAATTAAAAAGCCCTTTAGCACTTATGTATACTCCCACATAAATGCATACTTAGATTGCTGTAATTTTTATTTTCACTCAAATACATTGAAATCATAGGTGCATCAAAATGTATGAAAGGGGACTTATAGGATATCAAGTCCATAATTTAATTAAATTTCTGTCACATTTTAACCAATACAGAACATGTTGTATTTTCAATGGCAAAATGCTTTTAGCATCCTTTTAGTTTACATTAAAATTGGAGTGGAAGAAACTTTAGTTTGGGGAGAGGGGAGAGAGAAAGCTGAGGGAAAACCTGGGGTGTTCTTCAGAAATGTGTCTGTCCTTATGCACATTTGAGAATATGTGTTTATATTGTGTCCAACTGGAATGGTTAGAAAGCTTCATATTCCTTCCTTTTTCTTTTTTCTCTTTGAGACAAGATCTTACACTGTCATTCAGGCTAGTCTTACATTGATTATGTAGCTCAGATTGGCCTCAGATTTGAAGCCATCTTTCTGTCTCAGGGGGATTAGAGGTGTACATTACCATGTCCAGTTTCTATCTTGGGGAGATAGCTTGGTGGATAAAATGCTTGACCTGCAAGTGTGAGGATCCAAGTTCTGATCACCAAAACCTATGTAAAAGCCAGCTACATAGCCGGGCAGTGGTGGTGCACATCTTTAATCCCAGCAC